ACCCTAAACCCTAAACCTAAAGGCTATCGGCCGGTTGGCCCGAAGGGTTTTGACAGATCGGCTTCCCAATGCGAGGGCTTTTGGAGGCACCAGTACTCCCGAGTCCGGTCCGACCTTGCAACTCATTTGGGAGTTTCCGAAAATTAGGGGTACCTTATTTTGGGGTACTTATAATAAGGATCCTACTATTTAGGGTACTATATTAGGGTCCTTTTCGGAAGCCCCCATGTCGTGGGGTTAGATTTAGTTTCGAGATCTGGGTGGCCTGGTCTAAACTCATTACCGGTCATTGCCGAAATCCCAAGCCCTCAAAGGCACCGCCTAAAGCCAAAGCCCCAGTCTATGCCCCAAACAACATTGGTCGCCATTCCATCACCCAATGGTCACCCAAACGAAAGATCCTCAACCCTAACCGAAACCCTAAAGCACGGAACTCCAAAACCTAAATCTCCAAATGCTCTGACAACCGTAAAGCCCTAATGCAGAGGCCTTAATAAAACTTAGAATAGGATTTGTCCGGGTTTTGGGGTATAGTATACCATAATTACAGCCCCCAATTTAGGACCCTAAACCCTAAACCGCTTCAAAGAGCCCCCAAACAATAAGGATTAACCCTAAACCCAAAACCCTATATTAAAACCCAGAGGTGACAACAGTCGCCTTAGGGTTCTCGTGAGTGACCCGCTGCATCTCCTGCTGCTCAGGCGTCGTGTTGCTGAGGTTTGGGTTTTTGGGCTTGTTTGGGGTTTAGGGTTTAGGGGTTCAGGGTTTAGGGTTTAGGGGTTTCGGAGTTTAGGGTTTAGGGTTTAGGGGGGTTTGGGGTTGCGAGTTGGGGTGTTTGGGCTCTTGGGTTTTGGGGCTTTGCATCTGCCAGGGAGGCTTAGGATGAGTTTAGGGTGTCAGCATCTGGTTGTCTTTAGGTGCCACTTGCCGATTTCGCGTCAGCCAGAAAGATCTAGGATTTAGAGAAGGTGAAGCCCATGCACAGCATGCAAGACCAGAGAAGCTTGGAGAAAAACGGAGGTAGAATTAGGGTTCTGGGGCTGAGGGTTTTAGGGTTTAGGGTTTAGGGCTTATAGGGTTTATGGTTTAGGTCTAGGGCTAGGGGGCAGAAAGATAGTCCTGGGATGCAATGATGAGGCCATTCTCGTCCACATGCTCTGCTAGGAGCAGCAAGGCCTGAATATTTGGAATACAAGTTTGGGATCTGTTGGGGTATACTTATAGTATACCTATAAACTATAGTAGGCGCCCCAAGGAATAATACGAGTAGTTATTCAGGCCTGTACTTTAAGGGACCGAGAGCCGGAGATGGGGTTGCACAAAAAAATCTGTCACGTGGTCCTGCTACCCGAAAACCCCGAACCCTAAACCCTGAACCCTAAACCCTAAACCCTAAAACCCTAACCCCTAAACCCCTAAACCCTAACCCCAAAACCCTAACCCCTAAACCCTAACCCCTAA